TTGCGGGATTGTCGGGACTCGTGGGATTGTTGAAATTCGCGGGATTCGCGACTTCACGGGATTTGCAGGATAAGCGGGATTTAGCTATAACTTCTTTTAAAACAATTTTATTTGCAATCTGCAAGAAGATTTTGCTTCAGCTTGATGAGACGAATTTTCTGATATGCAGTATGTCCGTAATTCATGGCGACACGGTAGACATATGGTGATACCTTGTTATTTTCTGTGGTAAGGCTTTTGTGAACATTTATCACAGCGCAAATCGCGATTAGCAGGTTCTGGTACGAAGATTTCGTTATCGAAAACTATCACGAAAAATTGGCCAGTTTTTATTTACCCTTATCACTGATATATTTTATCATTTATCACTGATAATATAACATTTTTGGATCATTTTTTGCATATGGTAAGAAAAGTAGTGTAGGAAACGCTGTGCGAATTTCTACCGCTCTTTCTCTCATTATAAGTGATCTACAGGCTTTTCTATTCTATTGCTCGGTGCAATTGGTAGATCCCTCGCTGCAGCAATCGATCGATTTCTCATCGGCGCATGCCATTGCTGCCAATTCTTACCTAGAATGGCATTTTTGCTTCGACTCGCTCCACGCCGAAGCCTGGGCTGAAATTCTGCACTCATATGAAAGATGAATGTGGGAATCGACCGCATGAACTGAAGCCATTTTTATCTGTCGTTGTCATTGATATCATCATTCTATCATTTACTAGCTGGCTTACCCGGCTCCGCCGTATCCGGACCAAACTTGGCACACATACACTTCGGGCCCCGGCGGGTGTCACAGTCCACTTTTCGTTATCGATCGATGTCGATTTTACCGATTTCATCGATTTTTAGCAGAGTTCACCTACGGGGCTGGGAGTTGGCACAGGGGGTAATCGAGCATGGGGATTCCGAATACAATATTAGTTTTCAGAATTATCGATTACTTTTATTGATTTTTTCGATTTTTTGTAAATTTTGACATGCGAGGCTGGGATTTTGCACAGGGTGTAATCGAGCATGCTGATTACGAACACAATATTAGTTTTCAAGATCGTCCATTACTTTTATCGATTTTATCGATTTTTTTGCAAAGTTTGACCTGCGGGGCTAGGAGTTTGCACAGAGGGGTAATCGAGCATGCAGATTACGAATACAATATTAGTTTTCAAGATCGTTCATTACTTTTATCGATTTTATCGATTTTTTTGCAAAGTTTGAGCTAGTGGGCTGGGAGTTGGCATAGGGGGGTAATCGAGCATGCTGATCATCCCCAAGGGGGGTGAAAGTTACGGCTAGTAGAAGTTGAAACAGCTTGATTTTTTCAGAGTTTATCAGCTTTTCTATCTCTTTTGAAAGAGAGTCATCGGCCGCTGTTTAGCGCAGGATAATCTAGTAAAAGAGTACTATCGGACGGTGCCCACCGCAGTTTCCTATCTGTGATGCTCGTTGCGTTACACCCATGCGAAGAGGCGTCCGCATGCAAATTTAAGAAAAATATTGGAGACAACCTGTATATCAGAAGATTCGCCTTGACGAGCTGAATACAATGCTTTTTTCGGATTTTGAAAATACTCATTCGGAAAGAAGTTATGGCCCTGCGTAATCTGCGTTATTCACATGAATTTCGCGGAATTCCCGGAAATTGCGGAAGTTCGCGGAAATCTCGGAGTTTCGCGGAACTCCCGGAAATTCTGCATGTTCGTGAGTGGTTTTGTACTTTAAGAGATACATAGAGCGATTGAAATTCGCACAGCATTTTCTACACTACTTTTCTTACCGTATGCAAAAAAATGATCCAAAAATGTTATATTATCAGTGATAAATGATAAAATATATCAGTGATAAGGGTAAATAAAAACTGCCCAATTTTTCGCGATAGTTTTCGATAACGAAATCTTCGTACCAGAACCTGCTAATCGCGATTTGCGCTGTGATAAATGTTCACAAAAGCCTTACCATAGAAAATAACAAGGTATCACCATATGTCTACCGTCTCACCATGAATTACGGACATACTGCATATCAGAAAATTCGTCTCATCAAGCTGAAGCAAAATCTTCACGCAGATTACAAAAATTGTTTTAAAAGAAGTTATAGCTAAATTTCGCTTATCCTGCAAATCTCGTGAAGTCGCGAATCTCGCGAATCCCGACAATCTTGCGAATCCCGATAATCCCGCAGTTTTGGACAAATTCTACCGCTGCAAATGTATGATTTTGTGTGCGCTGTAAACAAGCAATTTGTTTATTTGAGCCTTACTTTCAAATCGCGCGCACTTTTCGCCAAACACGATAGAGCATGTCAGTTGTGTGATAACCTGTCCGAAAAACTTGTATTCGACTAAAGTTTATTCTTGGTGCTGAGCTCCGACTCGTCAAAAACGATATCTCCTTTGCTTTTTGCTCCAAAAACGAAGTCCAGCCTGCTTCCAGACGACCTATGTCGGGCGCTGGTTGTGATACCTAGGGAATTCGAGGAAATGTCTTAAAAGGATTGCATATTGGACATTCAGGAATTGTAAGGATGAAGAAATGCTCGAAGTTACGTTTACTGGCCGAATATTCACAAAAATTGCGAATAATTGGTACGAAGATGTATGATATGTTAAGAACTAGTTAAGAATCCGACGAAAGTACCATAAGAAGCATGGCCATCCGCGACTCGAATGTGGCAGAGGATACATATCGACTTCTCTGGACCTATGCAAAGAGTCTTTTACTTGGTAGTAGTAGATGCGTACAGTAAATGGCCTGAAATGACGAGGCAGCAATATCATGGCTGGAAACAGTGAAGGCCTTTGAAGAACTTGTTTACAAGTTATAGATTATTGCAAACAGTAGTGAGCGATAATGATACAATTACATCGGATTTATTCCAGAAGATCTGCGACGAAGGTGGAATCATCCATATAAGCACTGCTCCGTACTACCCTCAATCGAATGGACAGGCAGAGTGTTTTGTTGATACGCTGAAACGCGGAAACTAGAGGGGGAAGGAGAGCCCGAAGAATCTTTGAATGTGATGTTACAAGCGTACAGGACGACAACCAATACCTGAACGATAAAACGCCACGGAATTGAGGAAACGCCAGCGGAAATGCCTAAGCAGAAACTTGCCCGCACACGATCACAGGGGTTATATGTTGTCCATGTCAGCGCACATTCGCATTTTAACATGAAGAACAATTTTTGAAAATTCACAGAAATTATTTTTTACTACGTATTAAATCCTACGCAATGCACACACGAAAAGAAAAATTTCCGACTAATTTTTTTGACTTTTTTGACTTGTTTTCACCCCTTTTTGACGTGCTAGCGGCTCAAAAGTGCTGGCATAAAAGAGGCTGCGAAAATATGCTACAAAAATTTATGGGAGGAAAAAACAATTTGACGCAAAGAAAAAAAAATGACAACTTTTAGTGTTCTTAATCATGTTGTCGTAAACTTGCTAGCTATTTGTGTATTTGCGGCACAGGTCTTACTGTTGTGTGCGCCCTGCCGTGCCTTACATAGGAAGCAACTTTGAGATTCTAGACAAGTTCTAGAATTTTTCAGAATTTCACGAGAAAAGTGTAACAGATATTACATTTCAAGATCAGGGAGAGCGGTTATTCAAGGCAATGGATCAGTTGATATCTGTCTTGAGCTACTCGAGAAACACAAGAACCCGAAACGCGGTCAAGCCGAACTTTCATGCGCACCATATCTGTCTTTGTTGAACCAGCTTCCGCGGTGCTGGCAAAGCCGGGCATGCCTACCAGCTAATCTACGTTAAGTGAACAAAAGAAGTAAGTAGGAAGCATAACTTTTGGAGTCTCCAAAATCCATGTCGTATGAAAAGCAGCACACAGAGGTGTAGCTCTTGGCTCTATCATTTATATTCCCTCACATTCTGGTTTCCTCTTAAAAATGTAAAAAAGGATCTAACGTCTGCAACTTTTTAGACCATAGTAATTCAAACGTTGTTTATTGCTGCCTCAATGAATTGTAATCGAATACTCATTAAGTATTTCAAGCCTGAGAGCAATGCTTGCAAAATGAGCCGTACTTGAGAATATTTTCAAGTTTCATTCTGGAAAGCGATGAAAAAAATTACTCAAACTCTGAAAATGGGAAAGAGGCCAATTAAGCTAAAATTTGCACACTTCATACTCACTTCATACCCAAATACTAGCACCTGTCGCTTTTGTTGTCTTGAAGCTGAAACTCTACTATTTTGAAAACAGCGCTCGGCATGTAGCTTGTAAAGCAAGCTGGATATAGTTTTTGGGGCAAAAAGCAAAGGGTGTTTCGTTTTTGGCTGAAAAGAAGAAAATATGCGTCGTTTTTTATGGTTGACGTTTCATTTTTTTGAAGATGTGTTTTAGGATTATGGTTTAGGGTCAAAGGGGACTTTGTAAAACTTAGGGAAAGTTGAAAGGGACTTCGTTTTTGCAATTTGTAAAAGCCACCTCATGCCAACCCCTGCTTACAGACAACAATCTACAGTGCACATTGTGGGTTTGATATTGCGGATGTTGGGTAAAATAAGATGAGAGAAGTCATCAGTCATTTACTTTTTATCTACGACTAATATTCATATCTAGGCTTGTTTGCTACGCGGCGATTCGTAGAACTTTGCTGCAACATATGTTTATAGTTCGCTCAAGCTAAGTATAATTTTTGGTAAACATTTTGCACAAAAAGATGAAAACGAATTTGTTTCCATGTCAACGCACGCTTTTACCAGGATGAACACTCTTGTAGGAAACATTGTAGAATTGAATTCTTGCCTCTTTATCGCTCACGCATCTCATACATCATTAGGCTCTCAAGATAGGCTAACTCGACATTAGCAAAATTAGTAAAACGAACTGTCAGGAAATTCCGACTTTGATTAAGCTATAGCAATACGAATACATTACTGCAAAGATAACAAAACTTTTAGAACGTTATAATACGTAAAGGCCGATATATGTACACATCGTGTACATAAGCTCACATATGCCTATAAAACATACTGCCTCAGCTTCTACGACTTGCTTCCGTCTTAAATTTTCATAATTTCCATCTCCGTCTCCGCCTTTCCAATTATCCGTCTGTCCATCAGAAAAAATCATTAGTATGCGATCCTCAGCGGTCTCCTTCTTAACTGCAAACTTTCAAAGAATTCGTGCCCTCCTACCAGCGTTTTCACCTTGAGCATTTGTCTTGCCATTCTCATACCCGCTCCCACGAATGTCCACCCGTGAGGAAAGCCGTCACGATGTTCATCACAGAAGTTCCTACAAACGGTATAGAAGAAATGACAAACTCTACAAATTAGATCGTGCAATGAATGTCGAAGAGTATAGGATTTAGAATCAATCATAAGGACTCGTTGTGTTTTTCCTGCCCACTTCGTAATTAGTCTTAGTGAATTATATGCTCATAACTTATTCCGCTTCTGGATTGTTTCGCGATGCGATCCAGATTATGGTCAAGTTATTAATCTTAACTTTTTGAAAGTGTCTCAAAAAATCCTTTGTTTTGCAGCTTATTCGACTAGATATGTACTTTTTTGTTTAGTGCTATTTCAAAAGCAGTGATACTGAAATAAAAAAGCGGACTATTGTTTCGCGCAGAGAACGATAGAGTGCGGATAGCAAATGGGATATTGTCGTTTCGTCACCGGCAATCTAACGTGTAATAATGCTAGTATCAAAAACTTGTACGAATTTGACCATAGCAAAAAATTCCGCTTTTGTAAGTTCTCTAAATCGGTTGTACAAATTATCTGAAAAGAGCTACCATTACACGAAATAGTAAGCAGCTTCAGTCATCCTTTCAGTAAAATCACGAGGTAACCATTAACAAACCAGATAGGCAATCATTCTAAATTTAGCATAGCGATGTCAATAAATGGGCGAAATTTCCAGATTCTCATGCTTACCGCCCGCATTGCACTTTACCATACTTGCAGCTCAATCTCCAATTTCTCACTTTCCTTCTGAGTTGTAATCAAGTCAATTTCTTTACAGTGAGTTTCAAAATAATCTCTCTCACATGCGTGATACAATTACATCATTGTTGCAAGCGAAATATTAAGTTGTTACATAAGTCTTGTTACACTGTAACTTCTTACGGCGATAAGTCATGCACCTCCTATTCTTCACAGGAATCCAGGGTATTATTCGATAGAGCTCTACAAAATGTTTTGCAAAAGTTCGCATTAACTTCAACCCACTGTAAGTTTGCTTCCAAAATCTGAGTCGTACCGAAGGCTCGAAAAATTGGAAAAAATTCATAACTTTGTTCAACTATATCCGGATCTCCAACTTGCTTATAAAAATTGCACACTATATCAGACACTCATTTGTACCATTGCTGTATTTCTCTCTGTTTTAGAAATTAAGAAAACGCAAAATTTCTTGTCTTTAAAAAACAAAGTTATGCTGTTTCTATTTACTTAGCTGTATACTGCAAGCCACTAGACGTATAACCGTAGACTTTCAGCTTTTGAGAATCCCTAGTTTTCGGAAAATACCGAATTTAGCTTTTTTCGCTGGACTTTTAATGCTAAATTAAGTATTTTCGAAAACTAGGGCCTTTGAAAAGCTGAACATTTACGGTCATACTTCTAAGAGCTTGTAGTATACAGCTAAATGAATAGAAACGGCATACTTTCGTTTTTCAAAGACAAGAAAATTTTCGTTTTGTCAGTTTCTAAATGAGGAAGAAATACAGCAAGCGATGGTACAAATGAGTGTCTGATATAGTGTGCAATTTTTATGAGCAAGTTGGAGATCCGTAGGATATAGTTGAACGAAGATATGAATTTTTTCCAATTTTTCGAGCCTTCGGTACGACTCAGATTTTGGAAGCAAACTTACAGTGGGTCGAAGTTAATGCGAACTTTTGCAAAACATTTTGTAGAGCTTGCTTTGCTCTATCGAATGGTACCCTGGACCCTGAGAAGAGTAGGAGGTGCATGACTTATCGCCGCAAGAAGTTAAAGTGTAACAAGACTTATGCAACAACCTAATAGTTGCTTGGGAGCACAATTAGTTTTGAACATCACTGATGATTTTATTAGTTTGTTAATTAAGTTTTGCAGCTTCTGTAACTTTTCTCATTTTGCATGTGGTACATCCAAACTATAGTAATGCTTTGAGGTGAGCTACAAATACACCTATTTGCTCCAAATTCTTGAACGCCTGTAAGACTTACGGTAGTTTACTAGGAAGAACTGACTTAGTTCAAATTGTCACAGTTTAGGTGAGACTTGGTCTTAAGGGCTTTCTCGACACGCTTTTTACGAAAAATATACCCATTTTGCATAACAATGCAAGTTCAATAAGCCAGTCTTCAACGAAATTAATTTTGCAGTAGTTGTGGGTCGATATATTTTAATTGAAGCTGCGAATATCTTCGTCTTTGGATGTATCTAGTGAAATTTCGAATCCCATTATATAAAATTTTTTAATTTTTTCGGTTTAGTTATCAAAGTTAAACACTTTGAACTTATTTGTGCCTCATATCACAATCTACATATCATAGCTTACTTGTAGCTCATATTACAATCTATATGTCATCGATGCTTCAGTGCAACGTAATCAAAGTCATGGAGGAAATTGCACAATTTAGCTAATAGCTCAGTAGTAAATCCTTAATACTGAGCTATTAGCTAAAAATCAAAAATTTGACACTTCTTCTCCTCCTTCACATTCGCGCACTGCTCAACTTACACAAAACATCTAGCTTGTACCTTAGAATTAGTCTGACAAATCACACATCGCCAAGCTTATCGCCAGGATTTTAATGAAAGGAAATGTGGCAAGCGCATTGCCTTCAAATTCTCCAGTTTATCATCAATTCAACTCGGTGCAATTACATACTTTTGAAAATTTACTTATATCTAAGCGTTTAAAATGTAGCTTGCGCAGTCACATAAGTGTGATGGTGACCACAGCGAAAGTATTTCTATTTATAATTTTTAATGTGATAAGTTAGCAATCCATTTTCTTCTTTTGTTGTTTGAGGTATTCCCGGTATTCTGCACTTTTCAGTGAAAGTTTGATCTTAAAAATTGTTCGTTTGGAAGACACGTGGGTGAAACGCGCATTGCTCAACCGACTGAGCTTAGATTTTGCGGACAGATGATTTCGATTAAAAACGGTTTTAGACTATTTTTTGAGGCGATTCGCTGGGCCCTTTATCAATTCATCAGTTTTTGGCGGTCAAAAATGGGTGTGAAACCTATTAACCGTTGTCAAGCTTGTTGCACATTTTGGTGTGAACAATGGCAGTAAGTTTATTATATTTAACGTTGAAAAAAAATGTGGTAACCCGAAAAAAGGACTTTGAGGTAAGCTCATGCAAGAGAAAGGAGGTGGTGGGTTTTTAGTGCAGTACAAAGATAGTAAAAAGAGAGCAGAAGCCAGTGGAGATGTAGTGATACTGGAAGGGGGAGGCTGGAGCAAACGGAAAAGACGGAAAGGAGAAAGAACAAATTATCGCTTGTTCTACCCTTTCGAACAATGACCCGGGCTGAAATGACAGCTAAATAATAAAAATGAAATGATAGTAAATAATAACTCAATGCTCTTGATCTTTCAATTAGTTCACTTATTGGCTTCAACTACGCTACCTCATTTTCACATTGAATCTCCTTTTGCTTAGCCATGTTGGAGTGTACACCATTTTGAAGCTTTGCATTATACATTTTGAAATCGTCGCCCGAGTTCTTTATACTTTATAATTCAAGAGGTCACCCATATGCAGGACAAAGTTTTTACCCTGATTTCACGCGTATAAGGCGCACTTTTTCGAATTTTTAAGCGAGCCGCTCAGCCGCTTCATTGTATTCCGAAAAGAAATCCTCAAATTGCACGACTCTCTCAAGCAATATAAAGCACGTTATAGGGTCCTTTGGTTGTAAAGTCCTTGGGTTTGTCTGGGCTGGTCGATCTTGGAAAAAAAATTCCCCGCGCCTTATACGCGTGTTAGGATGCTAAGATTGAGTGATGAATTTCACTGATCAGCCAGATCAGAACAACTTTGATAGCGATTGTTGTAATGGCTGATTGAACCTCCGATTGATTTTCAAGACTATACTAGGGTGAGTCAAAAGTAATGAGAACATCGCATCTCTTTTTCAACCTATTTTTCAAATTAAGTAGAATGTGCATACGCAAATGCTCTAAACGGTGTCCGACACGGATTTTCTTTCCCTTCGACAGCTATGATTTTCAACCAAATCAATTCGTAATCTATATATATATATTAAGTTGTCCTGAAAGTTTATCGGTTTTTTCAAACCACTAAACCAGGCACAATAAAGGCCTGAGCGAGTTTTAACATGCATTCGATGCAGTTTTTCCTTCTCTTTCTAAGGGATACATTTTCGTACCATAATCTTGTATGCTTTTTTTTGATAATTGCCAAAGTTCTCCACCTGTCAATTTTACCTGCTCAAAGTTAGGCTAAATTTTAAAATTTTCATTACGTAATATCGATAAGGATTAACTATGGATCAAATAGAGCAAATCTCGAACTACAAAATGGTTTTTTTAGATTCTCCTAAATCTGCTGATTTTAGCTTCAAAAAATTACTTCTCCGAAGGTCTCGATTTTTGGCAAAGTTATGAAACACGCAACTGCATAAAACACATGAAAGCTTCTAAAGTTTGTGCGTACTGAAACATAATTCTTATTAAACATCATTTACATAACCAACTTTGATTCGCTTCGAAAAAGCAGCATTTTGGATTTTTTGGTACTTTTACGTGTTGAACTTAATCAAAAAGCCGCGGTTTTTATTAAATAAATAATTATAACGGGCTTGGTAAACGCGGTTCATGTAATCTAAAACAAACATATTGTAGCCAAAGGTTGCTCTACATAACAATTACCAGCGCCCTTTGAAAAAACATCAATATAAAAGACTCTAAAATCCAGGAAAGATTTGGCGTTAAAGCTGCTTGAAATGCCATGGCGATAACACTGCAAGATGGGGTAATCAAAAAGCAAGTATAACTGTAAGAAAGAAAATAAAAAAACTGAATCAGAGGTGCTTAAGCCGTTTATGGATTGGTGTTCTGTGTGTTTTAGTGAGGATGAAAAAAACCGACAAAACTTTCGGGACGACCTAATATACAAAACTCAA